AGGAACACCTAAATTGTAGTTGTGGATTTTAATGACATCTTCCAATAACTGATAAAACAAGGAGACAAATTATTAGTAAAGATATAGACTGAACGGCATCATTATTAACAAATTTGACAGAATTGACATTTATGGAAGGTGAACCCTCTTCAAGTGTACAGGGAATATTTACCAATATGGAACATATTTTGGGTCGTAATGTAAGTCTCAACTAATTTCAAGGCCTGAAATCGTATAGAACTTGCTTTTTGTCACTGGTAGAATTAAACAAGAAAACAACAACAAAAAGAGACCTAGAAAATTCCCTAATGTTTGAATATCAATCAACGCATTGCTAAATAGCCCATGGATCAAAAAAGAAATAAAAATGTAAATTCTAAAATATTTTCAATCAAGTGTTAAAAACAAAATATGTAAAAACATATGGGCTGAAGATTGAGTCAATTTTAGAGGAAAATGTATTGTCTTAAATGCATGTATTATAAAAGAAGAAAGGTTGAATATCAATACTCTAAGCATCCCTGTTAAGATCTAGAAAAATCATAACAAATCAAACCTAAAGAAAGTAGAAGGACTGAAAAAATGAAGAGGAGAAATCAATGAAATTGAGAAGTGAACAATAAAGAGTTGGTTCTTTGAATAAACTAAAAAAACTGATAAAGCCCTAACAATATAGATTAAGAAAAAAAAAGAGGAGGATACAAATTACCAATAAGAAAAGAGGAGATATCACCAAGGATCCTATAGCAAACAATGATTAGGAAGGGTTCTGAACAACTTTATGCCAAAATTTTAAGATTTTAGATCAAATGGAAAAGTGTATTGAAAAAGTTTAACAGAACCAATCATTAAAGAGCTGCCCCCATTTTAAAAAGTGAGGTTAAACAAATGGCTTGAAGAATAAAATTTTCAATTATTTAAGGAAGAAACAACATGAATCTTTAAAACAATTTCTGTAAAGAATCAAAAAGAGAGAACAATTCCCAACTTGTTTTATGAGACCAATTTGTTTTGTTCTGACAACGGCATTACACGAACAGAAAATAATAGGCCAATCTTTCTCATGAATTTGGATACCAAATTCTTGAACAAAATATTAGCAAATATAATCCAATGATTTATTAAAATGACAATATACAAAACTTGAGTTTATCCCAGAACACAGCAGGAATTTAGCATTTCAAAATCAATCATTGCATTAGAAGGATAAAGGTGAAATAATGTACAATCTTGTCAACAAATGCAGAGTATTTGATAAAATTAAACATCCATTCAAGATTAAAAGTCTTACAAACCTAGAGATAGAAGGAAATTTTTTTAACCTGATAGAGTACCCACTAAAAACCTATAGCAAACATCATACTAAATGATGAAATACCAAGCACTTCTCTTCTGAGACTGAGAACAAGAGAAAGATATTTGCTATCATTACTTCCAATGCACAGCATACTAAATGTCTAGCCTGTGGAAGAAAGAATAAGAAATGAAGAGCATAAGGATTGAACAAAATAAAAACTGTTATCATTTGCAGATGACCTGCTTGTGTATATACAAAACCCAAAATCATCTACAGACAAGTCAGAAGTACATTTAGCAAAGTCTGCAGATAAAAGCTCAATATACAAAACTCAACTGTAGTTCAATAAAGCCACATAAATTTAGAAAATAAACTTAGAAAAAAATAACACACTAGCTAAAAAAATGGATAAACCGTACTTCATCAAAATTAAATTGTTCTGCTAATAAAAAGACATTAAGAAAATTAATTTCTCACTGTGAGAAAACATTCACAATAATTATTTCTGAAAGACTTAAAGAATATATATATATTTCTTTTTTTTTTTTTTTTTTGAGATGGAGTCTCACTCTGTCACCCAGGCTGGAGTGCAATAGCTTGGTCTCGGCTCACTGCAACCTCTGCCTCCCTGGTTCAAGCGATTCTCCCACCTCAGCTTCCCAAGTAGCTGGGACTACAGGTATGCACCACCACACCCAGATAATTTTTGTTTATTTTTGTAAAGACAAAGTCTGGCTGTGTTGCCCAGGCTGGTCTCAAACTCCTGGGCTCAAGCAATCCTCCTGCTGTAGCCTCTTAAAATGTTGGAATTACAGGTGTGAGCCACTGCAGCCGGCTGAGAAAGTATGTTTACAACTACTTTTAAATTGATCACTAACCTCGTAGGACAATAAGGACATCAATGTGAAGACAAGCATACCAAGAAATAGTCTAGTGCCAAGGCTGGCCTTTGCCCTAATGGCTTTGGTGAACCTTTGGACTTCTGCTTTAAAGACTGCATTATGTGCCGAGCATAGCAGATAAAGTCCAGGGCCTGCCCAGAGTTGGAAAAAAATTATAAAACACAAAAAGACATAAGACACTCTGGCTGAAAACCAGCAGAAAAAATAAACAGCAAACTAAATAAGTAGACTTAATTTCTTTGAATTATCAGATACAGAATATAAATAACCACATTTAATATATTTAAGAAATCAAAGGGAAACTTGAAAAATAAAAGAGAGGAGAGCAGTCAGATTTGATAAGAACCAAATAAAACTTCCAGAAATAAAAACAATAATAATAATTAAAAAGTTAAAACTCAGCAGGTGAGAGACTTCACTGAAGAGGGGATTATTGAATGGAATAATGATTAAGAAGAAAGTATCCAGATCAGTTTACAGAGGAAAAGAAATGGAAAATATAGAGGTAAAAATGAATGAATAACGGTGCAATAATAGATTAAGTAATGGAATAACAGAGTATTCCGTGTTCCAGAACAAGATGGAAAATAGCAAAGAATGCATATGGGGAAACAACGACACACAGCCTCTACATCACACATACACAAAAATTAAATAAAAGATAAGGCATTAACCTAAACACAGAAGCTAAAACTATAACCCTTCCAGAAGTAAACATGGGAGAATATATTCATGATTTATTTTAAGGCAAAGATTTCCTAGCACGGAGGCAAAAAGTGTTAATCTTAAAAGAAAATTGATAACATGGATTTCATCAAAATTCAAAATTGCTGCTTATTAAGAAATATTATCAAGGAAATGAAAAGGCAAGCTACAGACCTGGAGAAAATATTAATAATACATATATCTGACAAAGGACTAGTATTTTGAATACTGAGTAATAAAAGGTACTTACAAATTAATAACAAAAGAATAAACAAAGAAAGGTCTTGAACAGACACTTAAAAAGATACATGAATGACCGGTAAGCACCTGAGAAGGCACTCAACATCATTAATCATTAGGGACATGAAAATTAAAACCATGGATAGACATCACTTTATCCCACTAGAATGTCTGAAATTGACAAAACAGCACTACATGTTGGTGAGGACGTGAAGCAACTAGAACTCTCATGCCTTGCCGGTGGGAATATAAAATGATGCAACTATCTTGGAAAACTGATGCCCCAATATGTTATGAGCTATGCTTTTAGCCTTCTACCCCTTGGTTACATGGGTCAAACGTTCCCCCTTTTGCTTAAGCTAGTTTCTCTTGCTAGCAGCCAGTGAGTGTGGCTAAAACTAATAGATAAAACAGATAGACCACACCACTGGCTAGTCTGTGGCATTGTTCTGCTGGGCAATGTGGAGCTAGTGCCACTTAACCATGGGTCCTAAGGCAAGGGCTTGAGTTGTCCTGCTCAGATACGGGTCCACAAAGCCAGCAATTCTGACCTGTACCCTAGATGCCTTGTGCTGCTCCTTCTCTAGGTGTACCTTCAAGTTTCTATCTACACACCGATCACCCCAATCTACCAGTGTGACTTCTGGGGATGGGTTGTTTCCTGAGCCCTGCATTCCTCAAGCTTTCAACCATTAGGGACACAAGTTAGGTGGGATTTCTATCTGACTCGACATGATTTCTGTGGGTTCTTTATCTTGTGGATCTTAGCTTACTTTTTCCCTGGCTGTGTACTTCTGTTTTCTCCCTACAATGCCCTTCTGCAGATAATCTGGGTCCATCAACATGAATGGGTAAAACAGAAGTGAGAAGGAAATGAGAAAAAGCATAAAATAATAAACAGCAATGTAAAATATTAATTTGGAAGTCAACTTTGGAGACTGCATAATGTATATGCCATCTACATGACCGTAAATTAAAAATTTGCAACAATGTGTAATTTTCATGATTATGGAGGGTGTGACCTTCAAGAAAATGCTAGTGGCAACAGACACAGTCCTATATTCCTGTAAGATGTTACGTAAGATATCTGCACGTTCTAAGGATGAAAGTAACAGATCTTACATAGACTAGTGGGCACATTCAAGAACATTCTGAATTGGGGTTTACATTTTTAAAATGTTAAGACAAATATCACAATAAATCAAATGGAAAACCCATGGGGCATTAAATTACCTGCAAATTTTAATATACGGACAACCTTAATCCACCAGTGTGGCTTCTGGGGATGGGGATGGAGGGCTCCTTCCTGTGTCCTGTATTCCTCAGGCTTTCAAGCACTGGGGACACCTGTTAGGGGATTTCTATCTGACTCCACATCATTTCTACTGGAGGCATTCACTGTTTTTGTTTTTTGTTGTTTTTTTTTTTTTTTTTTTTTTTGTCTTGTGGATCTTAGCTTACTCAAATGCAGCCAAAATAACCATTTCCTATTCAGCTTTATCATATTTCCCATGTGACCTTTCTTTTTTTAATTTTTTAAAATTGATTTTATTATTATTTATTTATAATTTCAATGTTTTTTGGGGGGAATAGGTGGTGCTTGGTTACATGAATAAGTTCGTTAGTGGTGATTTCTGAGATTTTTGGTGCACCCATCTCCTGAGCAGTGTACACAGTACCCAGTGTGTAGTCTTTAATCCCTCACCCTCCTCCCGCCCTCTCCCCCAAGTCCGCAAAATCCATTGTATCATTCTTAAGACTTTGCATCCTCGTAGCTTGGCTCCCACTTATGAGTGAGAACATGCCCATCTGATGTTTCTTAACATGTAGAACTTTTAACGAAGAATACTGCATACCTGTGTCATAACACACAATAAGTCTTCCACTGTGATCGCCCACACTCTGTGGCTCAAACTCCACTTCCAGTTGCATGGACTCTCCCACATTAAGAGTTCCAACAGCTGGTTCTACAGAGAAAGGCCTGCAACACACAGAGAGGCACATCATCAGAGCACATTTCTGACTAGTGTGAGAGGGGGAGGAGAGGAGATGGGAGTTCTAGTTCTGCAGACAGCTCAGACCCAGCACTGCAATTTCATGATCCGGAAGTAAAGTAGACTTTTGCTACCTAATGTGAAAGAACTTTAGTCTTAATGTTAAAATGATAGTATTAGATTAGCAAGTGTAAGGGCAACTTAAATGATGCAACAGTATTCTTGTTTGTGTCCTTGCCATTCAGCCCTGCTTTTAACATTCATTGAGTATCCCTGCTGGGGTCAGGCACTCGAGTTAGGGTGACTGCAAATGAATCAAATCCAGCCTTTGTCCTCAAACACTGAGACTGCTATAAGGAACACACTTAAAATATGTATGCAAATATTGTCATTTTCAAAAGAACAGTGCCTTCAAAGGGATAAAAATCGAGTTTTGTGAGAGTTCACAGGAGAGAGGGCATCAGAGTGGAAAAACACATCAGAGCCCCATAAGGAAAGGGACGGCACCCTCACTCGCCTTAGGATAATTAAGGACAGATGAACAGAGGGTCTATTTTAAAAGGGTGGGAGGGGTGTAGAGGAACTACAGGAGATGATGCAATAGCTCAGGTGGTAAACAACAGTAGTGCTGCCACCAAAGAGCCATGGAGAAGGCATGGTTTTGAAATCCACAAGGAGAGGCCTAAGAGAAGGTTGTCTTATGGGGAGCAAGGAGATGGAGCCAAGGGAGACTGCAGCCCAGGTGGTCTCCCAGGGAAGACAATGAGGAAAAAATATCCTGACCTCACATCCCCTCCCATCCCATTGTCTACCAGACCCTCATTGGGTGAACACAACCAGAGCCAGAAATGGGAGTCGAGGGCTGTTGACCCAGGCTGTAGAAGCCAGCCACCGGGGCTAGAGCCAACTGAAGAAGGGTGGAGAGTGCATTTGAAAAGGCAAACTGAGGACAAATTCTGTGTCTTGAAAATATAATTTGGGATGCAGACATTGTGGGGAGTGAGGGTTGATTTGGAAACAGGAAATAGTTTAATTGTTTTGGAAGGGAATAGTTAAGAGAGAAGCTGGATCTGATGGTGAAATACCTTAAATAACTTAGAGAGTTCTTCCTAAATAGGAAACCTAGCCCATTTAATTATTTTCATGGTCCATTTCACTTCTTTAAATTGCTAGTTTTTCAAAGTAATGTGTTGTGTAATGCATCTGGCAGACTGAGCTGTTTCTGATTATTTACTTCGATCACAACAGTTCTTAGAGTTGTCATTCCTTAAATCTTACCTTAGATGATGAACTCAATTTCAGAAAATCTAAGCTTTCTGCTATAAGGACACAGAGTTTATGTCAAGGGTAGCACTGGGTGGCATCTGAGAGTATTACCACAGGACCTCAGGTGCTCCCTACTATGAGCAATTGGTTATTTTCTCTGGTGCTTTCTACTTGATCTCCTCTCCTCTCTTTTCTTTCTTTTAAATTTTAAAAAAATTTTAGTTTTTTGTGGGTACATAGTAGGTACATATATTTATGGGGTACATGAGATGTTTTGATGCAGGCGTGCATTGTGAAATAATCCCATCATGGAGAATGGGGTATCCACCCCCTCAAGCATTTATCCTTTGTGTTACAAACAATCCAATTACACTCTTTTAGTTATTTTAAAATGTACAATTAAGTTATTGACTACAGTCACCTTATTGTGCTATCAAATAGTAGGTCTCACTCATTTTTTCTAACTACTTTTTTAATACCCATTAACCTTCCCCAACTCTCCTGCTCCCAACTCCCACTACCCTTCCCAGGCTCCAGTAACCATTCTTCTACTCTCTATGTCCATGAGTTCAATTGTTTTGATTTTTAGATCCCACAAATAAGTGGATCTCCCCTCCTTTCACTTCTTGATTTTCCTGCTTCCTTTCCTTTGCCCTGTCCCCATGCCTGTGGCACCGATCCACCAGTGAACCCCAGGCATTGCTGCAGAGGCATTCTGGGGCAGTGGTTACTAGCCTGACCTCTGGAGCCAAGCGAACAAGTTCAAAACCCAGCTCTGCCACAACCTTGGGCAAGTCACTTAACCTTCAGTTTCCTTATCTCTAAAAGGAGGGTAATGATAGCACCTACTTCATATGGTTATAGTGAGGACTAAAGGGGTTGATATAGGTCAAGTGCTTAGAATAATGCCTGGCACAGAGGAAATACTATACAAGTGTTTGTTATTCTTTTTGTTATGGCTATTTTTATCTCCCTCACTGGCAGCCTCTAGATGCTGCGTGATGAATCTGTGGATGTGTTTGGGTGTTTCGATGAGTTCAAGTTTTCATCATTCTCTCCTCACTCCTTCACACTGCTCTAGAAAGAGTGTAAAAAACACACACAGGTCATAACACATCAATCTCCTGTTCAAACACCTTCAGTGGTCCTCACCATCTGTGCAATCAAGTTCAAACCCCTAGGCATTTCAGGTCCCACACAATCTGTTCCCAACAGGTTTTTGCATTTTCATTACACACATACATCTGTCCAAATATCCTATACACCTGTCATGTTCCAAGTCAGCGCTGGGGTGGGATGGGAGGCAGGCTTTAGTCTCTTCACCCACAACCTCCCCCAGCACTGCACCTGCTCTCTCTTCCCACCAGATTGTGGCCCCCACGTAGACAATCGGAACTGCTAGGATCACATCAGGTGATGTGCCATTTCCCACATGCCATACTCCTTCTGAAGCCACCTCTCACAGCCCAGACTCAAAGTCACTTCTTAAATAGAATCTTTCCTGATTCTCCCTTTTGTAAATAGCATCTCCTTCCTCTCAGAGACTATAACTTCCCTTTTAGTTTTTACAGTGGTTTACTTTGTACTTGAGTTGGTTTTCATGCCTACCTCTCCCAATAGCTAGAAACCCTTGAGAAGAGGGGGAAGGGAAAACACAATCACGAGCACATATTCTATGCTGGGTCCTACGCTGGGTGCTTTACATATAGCAATTCTCCTAATCCTCAAACAAACCCCGAGAAAGTCCATATTGTTATTTGCATTTCAGACATGGGAAAACAGATGCTCACAAGGGCAGCAACTTGCCCAAAGTTGCCCAACTCAGTGGTGGTGCCAGGAGGGAAGTCCCTGTTCTTTCTGCCCACCCCAAACCACCCTGAACATGGAAGCCATGTGGTTAAATTTATTTTTGTGTCACTCATCACCCCATACATGGTGCTTTACTCAGGAGCCTCTCAGAAGAGGTTGCTTAATTGAATTACAAAAAACTCTTAAAGGTAAAACAAAAATATTTGTAATGAACCATCAGTGTCTATGACATCGTGGTGGAACAAAAAGGAGCAAACCTTCAGGAGAAACCGTGCCTTGTGGGAAGTGACGGTGAGTCTCCCAGTCTCAAAGTTCTTTCCTTCCTTACGGCCTCAGGAATAATCAGAAGAAGTGAGAACTGGGCCCAGTTTCCTGGCTTTGGGAACACCACCACAATATTTACTTCTATCCTTTGCCTCCCTACTTCCTAATATTTTCCTTCATTTTATTTTCAAATATTTATTGGTAGCAAAAGAATAGCTTTAAAATGAATTGGGTATTATTATATTGCAGTACCTAAACTATTAATAATTTTTACAGAGAAAATGGCACTAGTATCCCATCCGTACGACCTCCAGGAATCCAAGTTCCATGGAGTGGTAACGGTTACTTTGCCTTTGTGCTAATCGTTGGGTTTAGGTTACACAAACTTCTTCAGTAGTTGTAATCACCTGGGATTGCCATTGTTACTTACAGCTGCCTAACAGATGTTAATTGGGTAGAGTGTGTTAAGTTCTGGTAGTTATACATTGTCTATAATTTGATTTTGTATTTCATTTTACTAAAATGCAGACAGGCTGAACGGGCTAGAAAATACCAAGTATCAGAAAATGCTCTTACAAAGAAGTAGAAAGTGTTGTTCTTCAAGGGTATAAGGATGGTTCAGTCTATCAAAATATTTGGTTTTGATATCATATCTTGATTAATACCAAATAATTATGAAGGGAGTTTGGTTTTGTGAAAAATCATGAGCCATGAGAAAGATTTGAGTTTTTGTTCAATCAATTATGAGCTCTCCTCAAGAACTAAAACTATCCTAATGATTCAATACTTTAGCAGAAGACTAAATATTGATCCTACAATATTAAATATTGAATATAACATTAGTGTTTATTCTTCAGATGATCTTTCTTGTTTAATTCCTTGAGATTTTAGATTCTGAAATTGCTTCTTAATCCTATTTCACCTTCCAATGTTAATCCTACTTTAATCATCAAGGTTATTCTGATACCTATTAGAGTTTTAGATCAGATTTAACAATAATTGCTTATGTTCTTTGTACATTTTATAGCGCATTGCAGCCTCTTTTATTAGTGTAAAACATTATGCTTATTTATAGTACTTGGAGAACATGTTTTATTTTATTGTAGAGGTTTATAGTTGTAGTTTTGCCTTTGTGATTTATCGTTGGTTAGGCATCTTATAAACATTTATTGGGTGCTTATTTATCCTAGACAGATGCTGGGGACGTACAAATGAAAAGAGTTAGATACAATCCTTCCATTTGAGAAGCTCACATTCGAATAAGGATAACAGACATGCAAAGAAAGTTCTAGTTTTTGTGATTTATAAGAACCTAAGCATTTTATAAACTTAACCACTAATAAAATCATTATTTCAATGAGAAAAGGATGATTTGTTTTTCTAAACAATTTCCTGTGGGACATTATTTCTAGCTGTATATTGACACTAAAAGTGGCAGGATCATGGGCTTTTGACTCTAAATTCTCAGACTATATCCACTGCTCTGCCACGTCTATTCACAACCACATTAACTGAAGAACACTGTCTAGGAACAGAATCATCTGTGTGGTTTTTAGTATGGATCCTTGTCAGGGGATCTCCCTAGAGATTCTAATTCAATAGGATGTGACCACAAATTTAACCACATTCTTTCTCATTGAAGCCATCAGTGCTCTCGGTTGCAAACAACAGAAGCCAGCTGTGGTTAATTTAAACAGAAAAGGGACTGACTGGAAGGACTTGAGGCAACTCACAGAAGCAATGATGGTTGAAAAACATGCATTTTGTGGAGAAAACATAAAGCTATTATTTCATGAAGAGTCTAAACAGGAAAACAAAAATACTTGCAAAGAGGGAATTTGAGAGACTTGGTTACACAGAAGATGGGAGAGGCGAGAAACCCAACTGAAGAAGGTGAGACAGCTCTGAGATTCCTAATGGTGGTAAGCTTTTTCCACCCCTGGACTGGAAGCAAAAGGAGAGGAGGAAGTGTTATCAGATCCTGGGGACCAGGGTCACCTGGCAGAAGTTAGAACCATGGCAGGCCAGCCTGACAGTGGCTAGAACCATGGAGGAGATGCAGTCGAGGCTGGGGACTCTGCTGAAGACAAAGAGGGAGGAGGCTTCTTCGTTCTTCCTACTCTCCAGTCTCTTGCTAGTGTCCCTGACTGGTCAAACCTAGCTGGAATCCAGCTGAGCCAGGAGGCTAGGAAGACTCACAAAGCCCCACAGTGACACTGAGCAGCGCAGGGGAATGGTGAGACATGGACCTGAGGGCAAACAAGCCCAGAGCTGGCTCATGTTTGCATGAATCCAGGTTTTAATGTTAACTTACTGGGGGAGTTTGGGTACGTAATTTCACTCCTCGGGCTTTACTCCCTTCACAGTAAAATGGGAATGTTGGGCCAGCATGTCTACTGTTGACGATTCTTGGCCAGTCCCTGAGTTGCCTCCCATTTTACCTTAGAATTGTTTCTATGTTAGGAAAACATGATAATTCATATTCAAAGGTAGATGGATAGAAAGGTTTTAGATTTTTTTTTGCAACTTCACACTATTAAATCTGTGAAGTGATTTTTGCTTCACATTTACATGAATCTAAAATATACAAAATTGCCATTTTGGGGTGGTTTTTTCAGATTCAGCCAAACAGCCCAGGAAGATATGTTCCTGCACTTGCATTTCCACCTTAGGTAGATTCTTTCTTTTCATAGAAAAAAATACCAATGTAACAGTTTTTCATGGGTATTGTGAATGGTGGTTGTGGGAGACCATTTTTCAATGGAAAAAGATGGTTTTTTTTTTTTTTTTCTCTTTTTTGAGACAGGGTCTCTCTCTGTCACCCAGGCTGCAGTGCAGTGGCATGATCATGGCTCACTGCAACCTCGACCTCCTGAGCTCAACCTTGGCCTCCCAAGTAGCTGGAACTGCAGGTATGGACCATTACACCCAGCATATTTTTTTGCTTTTTGTATTTTTTGTAAAGACGGGGTTTTACCATGTTGTCCAAGCTGATCTCAAACTCCTGGACTCAAGTGCTCCACTCACCTTGGCCTCCCAAAATGCTGAAATTACAGGCATAAGCCACCATGCCAGGCCAAAATGGGTTATTTCTAATTCATGGGAAGCCAGTTGAACAACTTGCTTCCTTCTCCCTCTATCAAAATATGTGAAGCTTGCCATGAGATGACAAACAAGGCCTGCAGAGCATTTATGAATAATGTCAGGAGACACTGGTTTCCAAAAGAACTTTTCCTTTGCCTCTAGTGGTTGATTTATTTAAAGTGGTTCAGAATCTTGCTCCTACCTAGGATGCAGAAAGCTGGAAAGAATGTTTCTTTTACCCTAACCATGAGAGAAAGTGAGATAATAACAAAATCGCAATTTTTCTTGTGCCTGTCTGAGAGCTGAGGTAGCACATCAAGTAGCCTGAAATCTAAAGACAGATAACCCGTTTCCCCCAAGCGAGATGGGACATGTACATACAATTTAGACTGTGGCTTTTACCTGTGGCAGGCAGAACTTTCCTGCAAGCAGAAGAAAAAGTGAAAGGGATGGAACAAAAAAAAATATTTGGAGAGATAATGGCTGAGATTTTCCAAAAACAATGAAAGATTCAGGAAGCTCAGAGAACCTCAAGCAAAATTAAAACCCAAACCAGGCAAAAGCAAAACAAAATCCTTAAAACAAAAAACAAAACATAAACAAACTTACACCTAGACATATCATTTCCAAACTGCAAAAACAAAATAAATCATGCAAGTAGCCCAAGAAAAAGAGATAATTACATAGAGAGGAACAAAAATAAGAATCACAGCAGACTTCTCATTAGAAAAATGTAAGTCGAAGAACAATGGAGAGACATATTTAAAGTACTAGGGAAAAATCCTATATATGATTGTTGGCCCAGAATTCTATATGGTGAAAAACATATCTTCCAAAAATGATGGAAAAATAAAGACTTTTTTTTTCCAGATAAACAAAAACAGAGAATTTACAGTAGACTTGTGCTACAAGAAATATTAAAGGTAGTTTTAGGCCAGGAAAAATAGGATATCAGACAGAAACGTGGATCTACATGAAATAGTTCAGAGAGAGTGATTCACCTAGAATACTTAGAGAAATAAACACAAATTCCCTCCCAAAGGATGTGCCCTCAACTGGCAATATAGCAGTGCTGCTCCCTACAGTATGGCAAACTGGGTCACTTGAAAACTCTCCCACCAGAAAATACCTAGAAAGACTGGATAAAAGATAATGTAAATAAATGCATAACTGAGCATGCACAAAAATAAGAAAAACTCATATCATTCCAAAACAAAGAGGAACCTAAGAACCACACCAGTAAGTCACTGAGCTAATGATAGGTCTGCCCTGAGTTCCCAGTAGTCCAGAAGCCTGGGTTTTTAATAGCCCCGCTGGAGCAGGAGACAAGGCCTCACAACGGTCAAGTTAGGCGACTGGGACCAGATCCCTGTATAAACCTGAGAAATATGAAGAACTCCCCCAACACACTCCCATCAGCAAAAGAAAAAGTGTCTGAGTTTTTAATTGAAGGAACAATGTTTCTCTAGGACATTCATAACTTGAACTTGTATCTTATGAAGGTGTGGGATTTGCATATGAGCTATCAGTCCAGGAACTCCTAAGGCAGGAAATTACCAAAAGAGTACTCCATGGTAGCCTAACTTTTGGGAACCAGGTAGAAGCAAATTCTAATCCCTTTTGGACAAATGAGTCATTAAGTCAGCAAAGGATGCCATAGATAAGGCCCTTCTGAAACAGAACTTAAATCCAGTATACACACACTACTTTTTAAAAAGAGAACTTAAATCCAGTATATACATACTATTTTTTATGGAAAAGAACTTGAACCCCTGCTTCCTTTTCCCAAGATGGTTGTTCTTTTTAAGACCCCACTGGTCAGTCACTTGCTCTCATGCCCCAGAACAAATCCTTCTTTTCCATCTGATAAGAGAGGTCCTTGAGAGATGGGATTGTCTCATCATTCTTATATCAGCAGTCCCCAGCCTTTTTGGCAACCAGGACTAGTTTCATGGAAGGCAGTTTTTCCACAGATTTGGGGTGGGGTGGATGTTTTCAGGATGATTCAAGCACATTACATTTATTGCACACATTATTTCTATCTTATTACATTGTAATATATAGTGAAATAATTATACAACTCACCATAATGTACATCAGTGGGAGCTCTGAGCTTGTTTTCCTGCAGCTAGACAGTCCCATCTGGGGATGATGGGAGACAGTGACAGATCATTGGGCATTAGGAGCATGCAACCTAGATCTCTTACATGCACAGTTCACAATAGGGTGTGTGCTCCTATAGTGGAGCACTGGACCGGTACCAGTCCATGGCCCGGAGGTTGGGGACCCCTGCTTTATACTGTCCCATGGTGTCTACACTGTGGTTAGTCCACAAATATTCAGATTAAAATCCACCTCTATCACTTACTAGCTCTGTGCTCTTAAGGAAATGATGTTACCTCTCTATCCCTCAGTTTTCTCATCTTCCAAAGCCAGCAACAGCACATTGAGTCTCTCTCACAGCTCATCACTCTGAATTCTTCTGCTTCCCTCTTCTATTTTTAAAAGTCCTTGTTGGTTACATTGGGCTCATCCAGTGAATCCAGGATTATCTCCCGATTTTAACATTAGCTGATCAGCAACTTTAATTATATCTGTAATATTAATTCCCCTTTGCCATACAACATGATACAGTCACAGGTTCTGGGGATTAGGATATGGACATATCTGGAGAGTCATCATTCTGTCTACCACACTGGCCATAGCTCATTTGAAGGAAAAAGAAAAGAGCAAACACCGATTATACAGCACTTGATATATACCAGCAGTTTCTGTTGATTATCCCAACAACCTTATGAATTGGCTGGTGTACTTTTCCCCATTTTTCAGAGGAGAAACCTGAAGGCCATGAGTCAAGGAATGTGGATGGTCCCCAGAAACTGGAAAAGGCAAAGAAATGTATTCTCCCCTGAAGCCTCCAGAAAGGAATGCAGCCCTGCTTTCACTTTGATTTTAGCACAGTGCAACTTCTGACCCATTGAAATGTAAGATAATAAATTTGTGTCGTTTTACGCTACTGAGTTTGTGACAATTTGTTACAATGGCAACAGAAAACTAACCAAGCCAGTTATAAAAATTCTCAGTCAAGACCAATTTATTTCTATATTCTCATGGGCCATTCTCTATACTAAAAGAAGCACTTTTATCCAGCATTTTGAAAAACCAAACAGGTAAGAGGATTTAGTATAATGTGGATATAAGATATTAAACCTGGAATTTTAATTTCCTCTGAGGATGAAGAGGAAGTCTACCCTACATCAGTGAGGTCTCCCAGCTTTGCAACTGAAGATTGTAACCAGCAGTTCCACCCCCAATGTTATGGTAGCAGATTACTTGAGCTGACTAGATTTAGCTATAATCAATCAAAAACAAGAGCCAAAGGCATGCATACCTACAAGTTTTGATGTGAAATACAGCAATTTTGTTGCCAATGTTTCGTACCAGCAGAATCTTCTGGGTGCTGTATTTGACAGGACAAGTGGAAAAATTCAGCTTGTCAGGAAAATCGAGAATGGCTCGTGCCCCTCTGGCTTTGATGGGTACAATAAACTTTTCTCTTTCGGTAACACAGGTCAACGTATGGGAGTAATCCTACAAGGAAGGGTTACAATCATTATTTGTGGAAAAAACAACATGATCACGATAACTGTGCAAGAAAAAGCATCGATGAGAGGCATTCTGCAAAACAACTTTTAGTATATTTCTATGAAAACTTAAGACAATTACAGAAGTATTTTCAATGAGATTGTCTTTTCTGAGACAGAGAGAGAGAGAGAGAACAGATCTAGTGTTAAAACCTACAGCTGGTAGAGAAGCTATGCTTCATGTGTCTCCCAGGCAACAGGGAGGTAGGATGAAGGTCAGTGGCAGGCCAGGCCCATTTCTCCTGTAGATCCAAGAAGATTCACAACAGTTCCTTCAGGTCCTCCTTCCAAACCCTAGTTCTCCTTCAAGCCCATATATTAGAATGATGTTTCTAATTAATGGCCTCTTTCTGCCCATACTCTTTGCAATGTGACTTTGCAGCTCCTCTATCAAGAAAGGAGTCTCCACTCCACTTGCTTTCAGCAATAAAAGGTGGCAGAAGTTATGCTATGCCAGTTTCAAGCTGAGACCTCAAGAAGCTTTGGGCCTATCCAGTCTTGCTCTTGGAACCCTGCCAATGGCATGTGAACAAGCCTGGTCCAGCCTACTGCAGGATGTGCCCCTGGATGCTCTAACCAAGACCATGCTAGACCAGCCTAGAGCCAGCTGATCCCCAGATATGGGAGCCCAGCTACAATGAACAGAGTTCCTTACCTGATGAGAGGGCCCAGGCAAGACCCTGAAAAACCACCCAGCTGAACCATAGTCTCGTGAGCAATAATAAGTGCTTATTATTTTAAGCCACTAAATGTGGGATTGTTTGTAATTATACAGCAATAGCTAACTGATGCGTAAGTCAGTTGAAACCTCACTTCTTGCCCAAAGCCATTTCTGACCACTCCAAATAAAAATGCTGAGGCCCTAGGCATCTCTCTTCCCCAGTAATAAGTTTAAATGCAACAGAAATGCTGAATAAAGTCACTCTTTACGCCATCTCATAAGACAGAAATAGAATACTTGCCTGCAATGTAGCAAAGAAAAAGTTAAGTCACCATAAAAGGTACCTGATATCTTAAAAAAGCTTCGTTTTCCTTCATTTTAAGTTTTCTCATCCTTTTATTGTGTGTTTTAGCTGCAAGGCAATCTTGATTAATGAAAAGTCATTTTGAACATAAATTTCCTTTTGGTAACCATGTGATAACTGGTAGTAAGTGGTGGAGGTTTTAACAAAAGCTCTTTTTGGGCTTTGGGCATAGAATAAGAATGGGACCATCTGGCATACAAATTGGCATACAGGGCTGGCCACATACTCAACTTCATGAAGCCACAGAACAAGCATAAAGCAGTGGCATCCCCAGTTTATTTATTCAACTATGTTCACTAAGTGCCCAGGTGCCAGCACGGCACTGTGTTAGGTCTAGCAATACAACCAATTAGGAAATGCAGACATGGTCACGGTCCTTCTCCAGCTCACATCAGGATGGAGGAGACGATGAACAGATGAATAAAGGATATGTAATACACAGTGCAACTCACATACAAATAAATATAAAGCTAAAACTGCCAGGAATGCTCACAAATAGCCTTTATGCCTGTAGTTCTATCTGTCCCCTCGGGCTCCAAACTCATAACCAGCTGCCCAGTCAGCATCTCATTGGATATAAACTTATGTCCCAAACCAAAGCTCCTGATGAATGTCACTGCCTGCTACCGTGCATAAAGATTTCTGCTGAGGGCCAGGAATGGAGGCAAAACAGCTTCAGCCCAGAGGGGGAACCTTTTTCTAGTACCGACAAAGGCTCCACAAAGACAGCTAAGGTCTGACCCTCTCTCCACCTGTAGCCTCCTGGTCTCAGTACTGGCATTTGCATCCCTCCAGCGGTCTGGCTTTAGAACCCTGAAATGAGGCATCCCTTCATGCTCTATTTCTCAATTTCTTGATACAATCCATAGGATCTACCTTCAAAATATATCCGAACTGCAATCACTCCTGCCGCCCTGGTCCTAGCCACTCCGATCTTTCCCAGGCTAACAGGACTTTCTATTTCAACCCTTGCTCTCCTAAAGTCTATTTTCCACCCAAGGGTCAGAGGGATCCAGCAAAAATGTAAGTCAGCTCAGGCTGCTTCTCTGCTGAAAAGCACCTAGGCTGAGGGTGGCGTACTATAGAGGGTCTGGTGGCCTAGTGCCCCCACCATTTCTCTGGCCATATCTCCTTCTCTCCCCTGGGTCCTCCTGCAGCCACAGGCTTCCCCTTCAGAGCCTTCACACATGATGTTCTCCTTCCCTCTACTTATTCATGGTGCTCACCCCCTCACCTCTTCAGCGCTTGGCACAGCAATCCACTCTCTCCCTGAGGCCTCCCCTGACTGCCCTATTTTCAACGGAACTCTCCCCTCTCCTGCCCCATCACTCCCTTGCCTTCTGTCCAGCTTCAGTCTTGCCCAGAGCCATCTGGTATATCGTATATTCTACCTCTCCAGTGAGTGTACTGCATGTCTCCCCCATATTTCCATGTCAAGAGGGATCTGCCCATCTTCTTGCCTTCTGTATACCCAGTACCTAGAACAGAGCCTAGTACTCAGCAACTACTCAACAAATACTTCCCCAAGGAAGGAAAGTTAGTAACAGAACATTCGGTAGTGATGAGGGACAGGAAATAAATCATGATATGGGGACAGAGAGACTGGAGAGCTCTTTCACATGGGGCGGGGCGGGGGGGACAGTCAGGAAAGGCCTCTATGAGGAGGGGACACTTCAGCAGAGACGTGAGTGACAAATGAAGCCATATGGATGGATGGCTGTCTGGGAGAAGTGTGATTTGGAACCTGTGGCCAGAGGGGCGCAAGGGAAGGAGAGTGGTTAGACACATGGCCAACAGATTGTGGGGGCCAGATCCCACAGATCTTGTAAGCCATTGTTAGGACGTGAGAGGGCTGAAGGCCTTCCCGAGGCTGAAAGCTGATCTTGATGTAACCTGAGTAACGTTTTAGAAAAAGCGGTGGCAGCTGTGTGGGCCATGGACTGCAGTGGGAAGAGGGAGGCCAGTTAGGAAGACACTGTTGTAGTCCAGGCATGAGACAACACAGATGTGGACTTGTGTGGGCTAGTACTTAGCCTAGCATTTAGCAAGTAGTAAGTACTTGATAAATGTTAGTTGTCCTTATCAAACTTTTGTATTAAGTACAATATGTGTAAGGCAAATAGGAAAAATTCAACATATGTTTATTCTCGTTGGTAGGGAGCCATCTAGCCATCCATATACTGATAAGGATAATAATAGAACAACATAATTTCAGAAAGTGATGAGGGCTTCGAAGAAAATAAAGCACAGGAAAGTGATAATATCAGATGGGGTTGATTTAGGTTAGAATAACTAAGGAGGTCTTCCTGAGGAGGTGACCTTTGGATGGGGACCTGAACAGTAAAAGGAGCCAGCTGGGTGAGTCTAGGAACAGAGTGTTCCTGCCAAGGGGAATTGCAAACATACAAGTCCTAAGGCAGGAGTGAGTCATAAAAAGGAATAAATAGGATTCATGAAATTGATTAAAACTGGGTTGCTAGTATATTCTTAAATAACTTAAAGAATGTAACTGGATTGTGTGTAACTCAAAGGATAAATGCTTGAGGGGATGAATACCCCATTCTCCATGAGGTGCTTATTTCACATTGCATGCTTACATCAAAATATTTCATGTATCCCATAAATATATATACCTACTGTGTACCCACAAAAATTTCTTTTTATTAAATTTTTTTTTTTAAATGGCTGGGCGTGGTGGCTCAGGTCTATAATCCCAGCATTTTGGGAGGCTGAGGCAGGTGGATCACCTGAGGCCAGGAGTTCAAGGCCAGCCTGGCCAACATGGCAAAACCCAGTCTCTACAAGAATTAGCTGGGCATGGTGACCTGCACTTGTAGTCTCAGCTACTCGGTAAGCTGAGGCAGAGAATTGCTTGAACCCGGGAGATGGAGGCCGCAGTGAGCCAAAATCGCACCACTGCACTCCAGCCTGGGCAACAGAGTGAGACTCTGTCTCAAAAATAAATAAATAAATAAAATAAAAACAAAAATAAAAATTTAAAAAATTGAGTTGTTAGGCTCTTATCTCTGCAACTGATTCTGGTTTCCAGATGGGAATGCCAGACTCAAAACTTATGCTCTCCAGACATGAGGAAGTACAAATTGCACTAAGCACACTTGATCTTAGAAAACCCCACAGAATTCAACAATGCAAGAGCCTAGTCTGATTCCTACAGAGTCCTAAAGGGATAAGTACTATTTTCGCTTTTTCTTAGGAAATCAAATCCAGCCAGCACACGTTTTGCTGGGAATTACAAACTGAAAAGCCCCTGGCACATGTGAAGACTGAGCATTAACTGAGGCATTGAGAGCTAGAACAAAAGATGCTGCTGAATCCAGGATAAGAGGAGATCCTGAAGTGTTTGTCTCATTGTATTCTATGCTCACATACCCGCTGCTTTGTTCTAGAAGGAATTAAAAGCAGCTGTAAATAGCTTAGGAACCTAATTGAAATACTGAGAGAGATGTTTTCAGACCTTTTCAAGTTCCCAAATGAGGAAGGTTTGAAGTTTGATTCGAATTATAAATTTTTTCATAATCAATTCACACACCCATAAAAGAATATAAAGTTCTTTAAAGTCCCTTACAATGTATTCCAATCTCTGAAGTTATGCACTTAATATGACTATATTAGATTATACATCATTATATATTGCTCTGCTGGCTTACAATTAATTCAGATGCTATGACTTGGGAGGCTCTGACGGCCTGCAGGCTTAAGCAGTCACTTCAGTTGATGAACTGAACACCCAGCCTCACAAACCTGCTTTTCCTCCTCTGTTCCCTGTCTCTGTAAATGACACCACCATTTGACCAGTTGTTAGCCAAAATCCTACAGTTCAAATTAGGTGCCTTTCTTTCTCGTATCCTTCATCGATCCATCAGTAAATCCTGGCAGCTGTACAATAAAGGTATACATCCGG